GACTTCCATTCTTTTCAAAGCAACTCGTTTCATCAGTAAAACATACTAAAAAAATTTCGATTTGGTTCTATTCAATCTAATGATTAGATGCAAAAGATTCCGATAAGACGTATATACAAGAATGTGAAAATTAACGAATCATGTCACTGCATTCATTAGTTTGTCTCATACGAGCTCTTCAAAGTAATTGAATCACAATTTGTTTCTACATTTGAATATTTTCTATTTGAATGTACCATGAGATTTTCAAAAATCAAATGTTAAATTACAGAAAAAAATCTTTTTTTTTAAATTCATCAATTTTTGACTATTTATCGCTTTTTTTATATCGCAAGATGAGTTTTTTATTCGATTAATTTGGTGACAATGATTGTCAATATTATCGATGAAAAAGTAATGTTTTTCTGTTAAAGAGAACGACGGATTTAGTGATGTGTTCACTGAATTCAACAAGTTCTACGTTGAAGAGATTTTAGTGAATTATTCGATAAATTTACATAAGAGGAAACAACAAAAAATAAACTTTTCAATTATTCCAATTTAAAAAACACCAGACAAATGACTTTTTCAAAAAAATTCGATCAAAACCATAGTGTAGAATATATTTTCTTCATCTTTTTTAGTGAAATCCATATATGAGTACAGTTGGATGAAATGCATCTGCAACACCAAGATCACGTCGGAACGAATGTCAATCACGAACAATGATGTTTTCGTCTTTAATTCATTTCATTGTATTATTGATGAATTTAATCATTGAATATAAAAGATGATATTAAATGACTTATATTCAACTATAAGAACGAATGAAACTAATTTTTTGAACAATTTCACCAAGTAGTATCATCTGACATTCGTGTGGAATGATAATGAAACATTTGATATTAGTTCTTCTTAAATGAATTCATCGGTTGATGTTTTTGTTGAATAGAAGAATATGAAGAAAATTCGAATATAATAATGAAAAATAAAAATTATTCAAATGGATTCAATTCGAATTCTCCTTCTTTTCATTTGTTCGAATATGTGAAATAGTACGTGATTGATTTTATTCGCTGATAATTACCAAAAGATCTATTTTTAATGAATAGATTATCAAAATACATAATTTCTTTATTTATATATGTTTTGAAGTTCAAGAAAGGAAAACTGACTTGGAATCTGTCAGAGATTTTCTTGCTGAAAAATATCCCAATTACTCAATGATGATTCATAAAAAAAAAGAAATTGTGCTTGTAAAATATGTTTTTCGGTACATTGTTGACATCTTTAATATTCACATCAATTCTATGATATCAAACGAGATAAGATCATTTGTTTTCCTCTTCTACTTAGAAGAAAGTTGTTGATGATATAAATCTCAAAAGTACGATGAAGGAAGATTATATTCGTTTCCCATAATTATTTACGAAGATGAAAATAACATTGAATATATTTGTTTTACTTCTGTTGAATTTCATTTACTTTGGATAAATTCTTCGCAAAGCCGATCAATGAATTGAAACAAGAATTGTTCACAACTGTTTTTACAGATTTCACCAGGTAAATTCTATTTATTCTTCTTCCATTAGATCAACTAAATTTATCGAATCGTATGATATTAGTGATGACGAAATAGAAATTTTCGTATTTCTAACGAATTTTAAATGATTGAATTTTGTTGAAATCTTGCCTCTTCTGTTCTTTATCCATTTTCGTCTGTGTCATAGAGGAGAAAATATGCAGTTAACTATATGTGTTCTTCCCTCATGATCATTTCAAATAAATAAGATTAAAAGTTTCTGATTATATTCATTTTATATTCACCAGAGAAAGATTATTAACATAAACGATGTCCAGTTATAGAAATCTCCTTCTTTATGTGGATAAATGTGATATAGAGGCGAATTCCAATAGACTGAAAACAGTGAATAAAGATGAAAACAACATTGAGAGTGCGTCTATTATACTACGTAGATTAATCAATAGTGTTTAAAACAGCATTGATTCATTTGACATCATTGTGTAAAAAGATTAAATTCTTACTGCAAGTAAATGTCAAAATTAAACATCGATATTTCTTGTCGACAGATCTGCATTCGTATTACGATGATCATCAATGTTTGAATGTATTTCGATATCCATTCGTTCGAAAGTTTTCATTGTTGAATTTGATAAAATAAATTTGTTTTTGTGTGTTTAAACAAAATGGATGATGGAGAGGATAAATACGTTGATTAATATCTAATGCTTGTTCGTAACATTCAAGTGCACATTGTATATTGTTCATAGTTTGAAATATAGAAGCTAAGCAATAAAATTTACGAGCTAAATTGGATTGATCACTTGTTCGTTTAGTCATTGAAGCTTCTTTCTCGATCTTTAACAATTCATAGTTCCATCGAAGTGCTTCCGAAGGTCGAGTTTTATTGACTAATATCAAATGTTTAAGAATACTAATGATGGTGCGATGTTGGTAATCGTTACGTGAGCACTTTTTTATCATTTCAAGTGCTTCTTCATCGTATTGAATGGCAAGTTTCGGTTGATAATTCTTATAATACATTTTCCCAACCTGATAGAGACTCCAGACTGTATTATGATGAATAGTTGGTAAATACTTTCGCCTCAAATCTAGTGCTTTTAAATGATATTCAAGAGATTTCTCATATTGCCCTAAATATGAATGCACATTGGCAATTTCTTCGTAACTGAAGGCAAGAACAACATCGTTTGGTGCTAAACATTTTTCTCGCACTTCCAACGCATCGAATTGATAACGGAGAGCAGTTTTATAGTCTTCACAGTAAGAATACACTCGTCCAATGCTGAAATACACTGCTGCAATGTAACGATTCGGCTCCAGTATTTCCTCATCAAGAATCTTCACTGCTTTCTCATAGAAGGATAAAGCTTCATAAATCCTTTTCTGTTTGAAATAGACTTGTCCTTGATTATGAATCACTAAAGCTGAGTAAACTCTTTCAGATGGATCACCTTCCTTAAGAAGATCGTACGCACGTTGAAAATATTCTAATGCACTATGAAAATGATTTTCACCTTTATATTTATAAGCGACTCCGATGCGATTGTATATGTGAGAGAGTTTCTCTCCTCTGGGATTCTGTTCAAGTCGCTCAAAGTAGCGACTTGATTCCTCATATTTTCCTAATCTTTTCAGTAAAATCCCTAACATAGTCATTGGACTTTCATATCGCATTTCTCGTTGGTTTTCTTCGAGATAATTTTTCGTAATTTTATATCCCTCGGTACTTGTTCTAAGATGAGCTATAACTAGCTGACTCTTAGCGTCTACTGCTATTTCGTCAACGCGTTCGACAAGAAAAACTGAACCTGCGTCAAATAAAAATTCTTTCTCTGTTTGAAATTCACTTAATTTGGATATATCTGCAACAATGTTAGAAGGATTGGATTTGTCTAAATCACATTGAATTTCATATAAAACTTCGACGGCATTTTTGATATTATGGGCAAAACTAAGTGCTATTTCACGACAACTACTTGTTGACCAATAAGCATTGGTCACAATGAGTCGATTGATATTCGCCTGCAACATCATCTTTTCTTCTTGACTTATTGCTGTACCACGATAAAGACGAAAGTTTGTGCCCATCGCTGCAACGGTCTTTTGACATTCTTTGACGAGTTGTTGTGATAAATCGGCAATATAATACCGAAATTTATACAATTGTAAAATATCTTCTGTTCGTAAGGCTTGATTGATCAATTTGTACACGAATGTTTGTTTTGTATACCAACGTATACACGAATCAACATCACAACTATTTGCAAATTTGTCAATATTTTTAAGTTCGATTGAATTGCCGTAGTAATAATGACGACAGAGTTGAAGCATTTCATTCTTTGCATCATCATCATGAGGCAATTGTTTTATAACATGTTTAAACAATTGAAACCTAAAGAGAACGAACAGTAAATGTAAATTTTCTTCTATTTTTCAGGAAATCTCACCAAAGAAAGTTACCAGATTGTTCTGTTAATTTTCGTGCACCTTGTTGATGACGATTATAAAACGAAATGATTTCGTCTTGTTCATTAACAAATCTGAGTTTTTTCGTGATCGATTCAATCAGATCGATTGTATTACCAAAGATACCCACGACTTTAGAATATTCATCTTTTACACGTTCATATTTTTCAGGTTCTTCTGGAAAAATGAAAATGGCATAAAATTTCGGGAGATTGTTGATTTGTAATCGATATTTGAATATATTGTTGCCAGATATGATCAGAGAAGTCTTCTTATCTTTTAGGGATTCTATCAAATCAATGCATTGGTCGATATCGTTATGAAATAATATAGAATTTTTATTCCCACTAAGTTCTTTCTTAATCTGTGCTAAAACATCATCAAATATCGTCGTTTCAGGATTGAACCAAATGATGCAAACATTTTCTTCTTTCTCTTGAGTCGAATCATTTCCATTCGTAGCCATGAGAATATGAAACGTTGTTGTTGTTAACGGTTAGTCTATTGAATAATGCCGCTGTTTAATCTGGAAAACAGGAAATTGTTCTAAGAATAAATACATTATATCATTTTATAAACTTATGACAGATTCTCCATCCTTTCGGAGGGCAACAAAAACGAAGTCTCATAGAAGAAAATTGTGATACCGACGTTTGCTTTTATCAATTTGAAATTTATAATCAAGAGAACAAAGACATTTACATTCTTTGTGGAGTTTTTCCTCCTTTCTCTGGTAAAGAACGTGTCGATGGTAATGTTATCGAGAGCCTTTCTGTTCTGTGACGACTTCGAAACACCACATAAGAAAATTATTTTTTTCCCAAACGTCACAAATTGTCTACCCAGTTAAGAAAATGGAAAAAAAATTTGTCAATGCAACGAGTCTTCATAAGGCTGATAAACAAGACGAAGACACTAAGAGTTTCTCGTTGTGTATAAATAGAAAGTATTCGCTTTCATGAATACTTTCTTTTCTCTAAACTTAATTGATGAAATATGTCACTGTTGAAAGAGTCACAAAATTACTAAAAATATTTCAATTATTTGAGGATAATACTAACAAAGAGATAAAACAGAAAGAAATATGATTCATAGTTTGTAGTTATCAGTCAACGAATAATTGTGGATCAAAATGACAATGATTTCTAAATGTAATTCTTTCATAGAAAAACATGTCTTTTACACAATGAGTAAATATTCAATATTGTCAGAATTATCATTTGAAGAATATTATCGGCAATGATTAGGTAAGACTCGCTCAAATAAATTCTTCTTTTCTATTTCGATGACATTGCATTAAGATATTTTGGAGAGATGGAAATATTTGACGAATATAATTTCGTTTGTAAAATGAGACGAACAATGAAAGCAGCTGTGTCACGTACATCATCATTCTTTTTTTTCTATTACATTCACTGAAGCACTTCGTACACGATGACTTGTTTTCATTTTCTCACTTAAGATTTGTAAATCATCAAAGAAATTCTCAATGACCGATGATTCATTACGATGTTCAATAACTTTTGAATTATTTCGAGACCCCGAGTTAATTTTCAATTGAACTTCCATTCGTTTCAAATTTGTACTCGATGTGTTCAGAGAAGAAAAGAAAAATCAGATTTTTTGTAGGAAATCTCGAATTTTCAACTACAGAAAAATTCTTCTGTTTGTACTTTTTTTAGTATGTACTGAGAGAGCCTTCGAGGTCACAATTTTCAGCATAAGAAGAAAAATAATTTGTGTTGATTTGTTATTTGTACACATAGTTAAATAAACATTATCGATCTTTTCGTTCGTTGCGTACAAATTGTATCTCAAATTCTCATTCAAAACAGAAATGAAGAATTAGAAAAATTCATTTCTTATTTTGTAATTTTTTGATGATCTTATCAAATTCGAAACACATTTTTAGATTTGTTCGAATTAAAACAAAATGTCACTTTTGGATTTTTTATCAAATCTTAAGAAAGGTGATGAATATCTGGAATTGGTTTGTCTTGATTTTTCTATTGATGAAATTGATGATAAAGATAATATTTTGGATCTTAACATCAAATCTTTTGTGAAGAATATTTTTACATTTGATAATGCAAATGATTGTTTAAAATATTTAAATTTTCATCTTTATAATCGTATTTATTTGATCGTATCTGATCGATTATTCTCGTCAATTTCCATGGAAATTGAAAAGATGGATCATGTTGTTTCTGTTTTTATCTTTGCTACAAATGAAACTTGTGAAGAATCAATAAACTTCCATTGTGAAAAATGTCGTGGAATATTTCATCGTAAAACTGGTTTAATTATCGATGTTATTGAACAAATTCAAATGAAAACACCTCTTGTATCAACTAATAATGTCTTTTCAAATATCAATGAAAATTCGGATCCATTTCTTTATTCGAAAGATACATGTGTTTTTAGTGTTCTTACTAATATCAACAATGCAGCTCGTTTTCTCACTGATAATCGTTCGACTATTGTGGAAAAACAAGAAATGTTACGAGAATGTCGTTTATATTTTCAAAATGATGTCATAGCAATGAAACAGATCGATGAATTTAGTAAAACTTATAATTTAAAATGTCCTGTGACCTGGTATACAAAACCAATATTTCTTTATAATATTGTGAATAAAGCTCTTCGAACAAATTTATCCAATGTTATTAATAAATTTTCTTTCTTCATTAAAGATCTTGAAGAATCATTGGATTTACTTTTTGCTAAACAAATTTATTCTCAATGGTTTTCTTCTTCAATGAATAATAAATTAAATCATGTTTATCGTGGTCAAATACTTTCCTTAGTCGATGTAAATCGATTAAAATCATTTATTGGACAACAAATTACGATGAGTCAATATATTTCAACATCGAAAAATATTTCTGTTGCAGAAATGTATGCAGGTGAAGGTCAACATTCAAATGATGATCAATCAGTCATTTATGAAATTGATACAAAAATTATTTATGAAAAATATGTGGATAAACCAGATCCAACGATTTTTTATTATGATATTAGTCATTTGAGTAATATTCAAGATGAAGACGAAGTTCTATTTCGAATAGGAACAATATTTACAGTATTAAATGTTAAAAAAACATCTGAAAATTGTTGGTATGTTTCACTACGTTTGGAAAAAAAGTGAAGATTATCGAAAGAAAACAAAAGTTGATCAAACACCAATGGAAATCGTTCAATCATTTTTCTTTCGAGCGAGTCAACAACAACAAGTGAATGTTGAAAATTTAATTAATGAACAATTATCATCAGAAACAATTGTTGAAATGAATATTTTTATTCAAATTGGTCATTTAGTTAAACATCATCCACAAGAACAACTTTATTATTATCAATCTGCATTACAAATGTTACCAATAACAGAAACAATTCTTTTAAAAGTTGCTTATTGGGCAATTCGAATGAGATGTGTTTCGAGTGTAATCGATTGGACAGTTTTACCTTTACATATGTATCGACAAACAGTTCTTCATTTGAAAGATAATCTGAAAAAACAACTTTATTATGAACTTGCTCGAATTGATGAAGCGCGAGGTTTATTTCGTTTATCAAAACAGGATTATGAAGACATTTTACGAATTATCGATGATAATCACGAAAGAGAACTCGTTGAAGATGAAATTAAACGACTCGAGAAGAAAGGAGAAGAGAGAAAATCATTTGTTTTTCAAGATCAAGTTGAATATTGGAATTCATATGTTTCAATATTAACAATGAAAGAACGAACACAAATAGATCGTCAATGTAGATTATTTTTGGAATCATTGATCGATATTCATTGTTCAAATTCTGATTTCTTCGAAGATATTTTATCTAAAGTTCATTCAAATGAATTTATCAATGAGAATTTCAATTCTTCAACATGGAAATCAGATGATTCATCAAGTTTACATTTAATTATTAAAACTTTAACCGATAAACCATTAGATTTATCTATTGACAAAGACATTACAATTCAACGATTGAAGGAAAAGATTCGTTGTAGTTTTGATATTCCATATCATTCAAAATATGATTTTCATCTTTTTCATTTGGGAATTTATCTTAAAAATGAAGAGAAATTAATTATTGATTATAACATAGATAATCATTCAATCATTTATCTTATTCACGGTCCGTGTATTCGAGATTCAGCAATGAATTATTTAGCACAAGATCTCCAAGATGATACTGGAATAACAATTAATGATATCAATCGAGCACTCAGAGCCGAACAAAATCGAGTACATCGAATAATGTATCGAAATCAGAAACATCTGGAAATTATATTGAAGTTTACTCAAACCGGATGTCAAAATGAATCTGAATTCTTTCAAGAAATGTTTCTCTTAAGTCAGACTGATGACGATGATGATGCTGACAGTCAAAATATTGCGGATATGTCACAATCCTTAGCTGATGAATATTTACAACATAGTGGACCACAAATATCTGTATTTCAATTACTGAATTTAATCACTAATTTTCATCCTCAAAGAGAATCTTAACTTTAATTATTATTAAATCGTTATGTGATCAATGTTTGTTAATGAATTATAAGATATCCCACCCACACCCTATTTTCGCTTTATTTTTCTCTTTTTGACTCATATAATCCCTGATTCTTTCTGTTTTTATACAAAATCTACTAAAATCAATAATTCATTATCAAACATTGATGTAATTGACATTTTCGAAAAGTAAATGTTGTCTCTGTTCATTTTGAGAAGATTATTTTAACACAGACGAATAATTATTAGTAGAAATTCATATTACCTTGAAATTTTTAGCAAAATAAACGTAGATCGAATAAAGGAAATGATTAATATTGAATGAATTGGTAAATAAAAATCTGTAGATTAAATAATGCCAGTTTTTCTAAATTGTTTTCCAGTAATCATCGAAAATAAAAAATAACAAGATGTACGAAATAAGAATAAACATTTTTGTCAGAATATTGAAGAAATGTATCATTTACTTATTTATTTCTTTACAAGAGAATTGAGTGTTCACATTCATCGACGGATCAGAGGTAAGGGAGGTATTTTTTGTTTTGAAAGGGAATAAAGGNTGAGATGTGTTTCGAGTGTAATCGATTGGACAGTTTTACCTTTACATATGTATCGACAAACAGTTCTTCATTTGAAAGATAATCTGAAAAAACAACTTTATTATGAACTTGCTCGAATTGATGAAGCGCGAGGTTTATTTAGTTTATCAAAATATGATTAGCAAGAAATTTTACGAATTATCGATGATAATCACGAAAGAAAGCTCATTGAAGATGAAATTAAACGACTCGAGAAGAAAGGAGAAGATAGAAAATCATTTGTTTTTCAAGATCAAGTTGAATATTGGAATTTATATGTTTCAATATTAACAATGAAAGAACGTACACAAATAGATCGTCAATGTAGATTATTTTTGGAATCTTTGATCAATATCGATTGTTCAAATTCTCATTTATTCGAAGATATTTTATCTAAAGTTGATTCAAATGAATTTATTACTGAGAATTTCAATTCTTCAAAATGGAAATCAGATGATTCATCAACTTTACATTTAATTATTAAAACTTTAACCGATAAACCATTATATTTATCTGTTAACAAAGACATAACAATTCAACAACTAAAGCAAAAAATTCGTTGTAGTTTTGATATTCCATATCATTTGAAATATGATTTTTATCTTTTTCATTTGGGAATTTATCTTAAAAATGAAGAAAAATTAATTATTGATTATAACATAAATAATCATTCAATCATTTATCTTATTCACGGTCCGTGTATTCGAGATTCAACAATGAATTATTTAGCAGAAGATCTTCAAGATGATACTGGAATAACTATTAATGATATAAATCGAATACTTATAGCTGAACAAAATCGAGTACATCGAATAATCTATCGAAATCAGAAACATTTGGAAATTATATTGAAGTTTACTCAAACTGGATGTCAAAATGAATCTGAATTCTTTCAAGAAATGTTTCTCTTAAGTCAGACTGATGACGATGATGATGCTGACAGTCAAAATATCGCGGATATGTCACAATCGTTAGCTGATGAATATTTACAACATAGTGGACCACAAATATCTGTATTTCAATTAATGAATTTAATTACTAATTTTCATCCTGAAAGACAATCTTAACTTTAATTATTAAAATCGTAATGTGATCAATGTTTGTATTGAATTATAAGATATCACACCCACACCCTATTTTCGATTTATTTTTCTCTTTTTGACTCACATAATCCATGATTCTTTCTGTTTTTATAAAAAATCTACTAAAATCAATAATTCATTAACAAACATTGATGTAATTGACATTTTCGAAAAATTAAATATTGTCTCTATGTTCATTTTGAGAAGATTATTTTAACGTAAATGAATAATTACTAATAGAAATTCATATTACCTTGAAATATCTTTTTACCTGATGACTACGAATATAAAATGCTGAATAATATTAACAGAACATTGTCAACGATTCGATCTACTTACTTCGTTGTAATATAGTAAGAAGAAAAAGAGAAATCCTAAACACAATAAATTATTTAAAGAGATTTTTTAACAAAAAATAAACGTAGATCGAATAAAGGAAAGGATTAATATTGAATGAATTGGTAAATAAAAAACTGTAGATTAAATAATGCCAGTTTTTCTAAATTGTTTTCGGGTAAAATTTTGTTATTATTTTCAAGGAACAATTCCAAATAAGAAATATTATTTGAGAAAATCTTAACTAAATGCGAGAATCGACAAGACTCGTTTTTTCTTCTCTATTTAATCTTCAAAATCAATTCTATATAAGAAATAACATTTGTATCTAATATTCAATGTAATCATTGAAAATAAAAAATATTCCATCTATGGTAAATTCGCTCTTTTCAAATCATTTTATGGAAAAGAAAATGAATATTTTTCATTTTTTTTAGCTCATATGGCAGTTTGATTCAAAGAAATATCACAATGAATCTTGTTTAGAGACGTGGAAATGAAAATAATCTGAAGAATAATTTACTTGTTAATCTTTTGTTAGATGTGACAAAGAAAGAATGATGGTTCCAACATTGTCAAGGATGTGATAGAGAACCATTAGATGGAGATTATTTCAAATTACCAACAGGAATTTCATTTACTGTTAAAATTGCTACTAATTGTGTCTTTACAACTTTTGGTTACGATAGAAATTTTAGTGGTTTTTTTTATGTTCTACAACAATTAGAAATCAGTTCGAAGGATTGTGTAACAAATCTTAATTTACATACAACAATTCAACATGTAACACCAGAAACAATTTTCGCTATTTCTTATGAGAATAATATTGATAAAGTGATATGAGTTTATTTGATATTTGTCAATAAAACTTTTTTTTTTCAAAAATATTAGATGGGTTCTCATCGATTGTGGAGAACCAAATATATATATACATATGCAAGGTAATAAATGTATAGTTACTGATTTAACTTCAGCAAGAAAACTTACTGTTGCTAAATCACCAATTTTTTGTGAAAATAATCCTTCGAGATATGAAAAGTGAGCAAAACAAATGATTTACTATTTTTAAAGAGATGTTAATAATAAGTTTTAATGTTCCCAAAAAAGTCAACATATAATCAAGTTAGAGTTTCTTTTTGACGGTGCACAAAATGATATTTTTGAAGATTCTAATTTATTATCAACGATAGGATAAATCATTTAAACTTTTTTTTTAATTTCGTAATGAGAAATTTTACAAAGTAGAACAATTCATTCTATGTCGATCTAAAGCGATAAAAGAAGAAAAAATTTCCTATACCAAAATATAAATGTATTTTACTTATTGTGTACACTATCGATAAACACATCCTCCAGCTGTATATAATTCATTGCAATTTGTTATTGTAATCCAATAAACATAATCAAAACAAGTAAAAACATTTACACTTTAACCACTTATTGTACGATATGTTGTATTAGTTCAACCTACAAGTGTTCCACATACTTTTCCTTGATTTGAATTTGGCATTGATATAATCAGTTATGTACAACCACGACTAATAAATTGAATATACAATGAAAATGTTTTATTTACACTATTAGAGACAGTGAAATTACATCTATTGGCCCAATTATTGTACAATTAGAAGATTGTACTGGTAATGTAACAATAATTGTACTCAAATTTTCAAAACACAATTACACACAGACGATCTTCATTTTGTTTAATAAAACTAACTCGTTTTTGAAATTATTGTTGATATTGATGAATTCGTTGATGATGGTAAATACAATGTAATGATTGTTTGAAATAAGATCATTTTGTCGTCAATGATTTTATCCCAGAATAAACAAGATTTGCGAAAAACGTAGAAAAAGTTGTTATTTCACAATTTTTCTCTAAAATTTAAAAATTTTTTATCGATCCATTATCTCAATTAAATACCAAAGGACAATTTTTGTTCTTTTCCTTATTGTGTATCTGTCAATCAGGAATCGCGTTTGTCACCCATACACATGGAAGATAAATAGTAGCGTATATAACTCGCCATGAATATCTGAGACAGTTCAAATTCGCCCTTTTCAACTGATCTTGCTCCAAATTTCACAGAGAAAAAAATATCTTGACTCGAGTATTTCGGGTGCCTGAAAGTGAGCGAGAAATAAATAGAGTTGGATGAGAACGATAGGCGAATGTCAGAATGGATTTTTCTCTCTTGTTGACATGTTTATATGTACTAGAGAACACAAACTTCAATTCTTTACATGATTCAACGACTATGAACCCTTTATTACCGTCGTCATTTTATAACTTTAACAGTGAATTGAGGTAAACACGAATCCATCCATATCGGTATTTTTCTTCTAGTCAATTCGTAGATGGTTTTTCAGGAGAATATTATAGATCATTTAAAGACTACAGATTACACAACACAATTGACTTGAGATAATGAACGATTCATTAGAATGCATGAGAAAACTATAAATTGGGTCCATGCTGATCCCACAACAATAACAGAGCGTTCAAATTTATTAGAAATTGTTTTGCATTTAAATAGAAGCACAAAATGATTCAAAAAGTACTCATATATTTTATTTTCTCGAGTAAAAGGAAGATCATATGGAAAAAATTGTTTGTATATTTGTTTCGAAGTCAAAGGGCACACAAAGAAAAAAACTATTACGTATGTACAGTCTATTCACTGTGTCATCACCAATCAGGTATCGAGGGTGGTAAAATCAAACAGTGACATATCGGGATCATGCAAGCTACCGATGAAGGTGTTGAGAGTAATAAAACGAGGCGATGACGTGGAAGACTAAGGAGTAATGTCAAATTCACCATATAGTAAAATCAAAAGTCATTTTTAAAGTATAGAAGTTCACTTCGTAGACTAATTCATCTTCACCTCATGAATCTGTGCTCCAAAATTGGTCTTCATACTACTAAATTCTATGGATGTACCACACCCTCACGTGAGTGTTCATATGAGCGCGATTGTGAACTGTACACTCCTAATAAATTTCGATGACAAAAGAACCCGAGTTTTTTTAAATTTAAAGCTGGAATTTCGAGTGGGAACTAGTGTTTCGAAAGCATAAACAATTCCAATATAATTTCACAACATTCCTCTTTCTCTTGATCAAATACAGGTATGATTTAGACTGATGTGGTAACGATAGTTGCTTTGAGTTGATTATTCATTCCTTCGGATAGTGATTTTCGTTCAAAAGCACTCAACCAATAGGAAACGTAATAGCACCTCTTCAATTCGTTTGTATAAATCTGTGAGTGTTGATAAAGATAATGATCGAGAAGATATTTATAGACGCATGTTTTTATCTTAAATGAATAGTTCAGTCGAGAGCCCACGACGAATACTACACGACACTATAATTTGATATTCGATCTGTGCACTAATAGAAGAAAAATAAGACAAACATCTCTCTTCTTCCGACGCAAGAAAAAACACTATAATCGACATATCAATATTTTTGGCTTTTTCATCTGAAAACGTTTGAGTTCATCACCCTCGCCCTCACACACCTTCACTCACCCTTATATTCGAGGAATTTGAATTATTTTGACCTCAAGACTGTGCCGGCTAAATGATTTGTCGGTCAAACAGGCTGTCGACCAAAGAATGTGTCGGTCACATGATTGTCGCTCAATTGAATGCGCTCCTAAGCGGAAGTAAATCAATTTTTTATTTTGAATAGTCGGCGGAGAGTCGATGAATAAATGTTTACAATCATTGTTCGCTTTGCTTATATCTTTGAACAAATGAATTCAAAGTAATTTCTCATGGATAAAGTAGAAACGGATTAAACGGAAATAATATGCATAAATATGACTCCAACTCGAAGTCGCTTAGATTGAAATCTAAGTGAGTTTTTATCTACTAATTTTTAAATTCTTTCAGAAAAGGGTCAGCGAATCCATTGGATGAGCGGTACTTGTCGTATATAAAGTGGTGAAGATGATATCTTTTTATGTTTAAACAAGAACTAATTTGTTTATATAGGAATGCGTTACCGTTTTGACTATAGAAATCGATAATCATATTTCTGCACTATATTCTTTATTTTATACACGCACATCAATACACGTTATAATGGTCAACATTAATCTCACGCCCATAGTTTAACTGTACACAGTCGAGAAAATATATCTAAAAACATGTGTGCAAATTTCTTCCAATATCTGATAACGAGTCAGTATAAGGAGAAAACCTCTCAAGGTAGATAATGCGAATATGTCAAGGAATCCGGAAAAATAAAATCCGGAAAACAAAAAATCCGGAAAAATGAAATCCGGAAAGTAAAAAATAATGAAAGTAAAAAATAATGAAAGTAAAAAATCAGGGAAATTAAAATGTGAAGAAAATAAAAGCCTCGATGGATTTTTTCTCTTTCTGTTTCTTTTGATACAGATACAAGGAGCAGCTATGTATATGATCTCGTCATTGTATTCGACAGACGTCGACAGAAGATATATATATGTGTGCGTGTCCACTCTCTCTATTTACCATTCTTTTTCTTGTCGTCTTATAATGACCACCCCTTGTTCAACGTATTCATTCATAAACAGTAACAAAGACAAACCTCTCCTCGTCGTCGACGACTATGTCTTTCAACAAAGCGGCAAGTCCACGACGACGACTACCTATTGGGCATGCCAATTCAAGGGCTGTTCGGCCGTTGCTCATACAAGCACGGGAACTGGTATTTTGATCAAACAGAAGAATGATCATTGCCATCCTTCCGTCCCAGAGAAGATCGAGATCCGTAAATTGATGAACAAGGTCAAGAGCCGCATCGCTTGTGAAACAACAGCTATCGGTCAGATATATGATCAAGAAATGGCAAAGGCGAATCTATCGACAACAGCTCTTGTTATGGCACCAACAGCGATTGAAGCTCGTAAGTAAAGAAAAGTTTCGTTCCGACTAAATTTTACTATTTTTTTGACATTATATAGGAGCTGGTCTTAATCTACAACGACGAAAGGCAATACCGGCTCTTCCTGTCTCAATCGATTTCTACATTCCTCGGTGTTATAAGGTGGCTCTGAACGGTGAACGTTTTCTTCTCGCCGATCACGTTTGGCACGCCGATGCTGGCATTTCTAAGCGCATCGTTATCTTCGCTACAGATGAACAGCTTAAGTTTCTCTTCAAATGCACCCACATCCTGATGGATGGCACGTTCAGCACCTCGCCGAAACACTTTACTCAGGTCTATTCGATCCATGGGCTCAAGTACAAACAAAGTCAGTTTTCTTCGAAGTTTTACCGTGCAATTGCTCCAAACAATTCTATTTAGGCTTTCTCTGTGTCACTGTGCTCATGACTGAACGAAAGACCTTCTCCTATAAGCATATGTTTCGTGTTCTTAGAAGCAATGCAGTTCGTCTTCAGCTTGGTTTCGAGCCTACTAAGATAACAACTGATTTTGAATCGGCACTCATCAATGTCATCAAAGCTGAAGTGAGTCTGCTGTTATCTGATCCTCCAGAAAGTATATCTTCTTTTTCCCTTCTATTTAGTTCCCAAATGCTCAGCACAAAGGCTGCTACTTCCATTATACAAATGCCATCCATCGGAGAATCCAGACACTAGGACTCTCCACAGTATACAAAACCGAACACGATGCACGCTCATCTGCACGGAAGCTCATGGCATTGGCCTTACTTCCTCTCAATCAGGTCAAACTCGCTTTCGATGACATTGTTGAGGGAGCACCAGATTCAATCGATGATCTCATCGATTATTTTCGAGATTATTGGATGAAGAACATGAATTTGAGCCTATGGAACGTGGCGGATCTCGATGTGCGCACGAATAATCACGTCGAGGGTGAGTCATCTCTTTTTTTATCTCCATGAAAGCTTTCGAAAACAAGCATTTCAATTTTTCCGTTTAGGCTGGAACAATCGTTTCAACAAGCGTATGAATAAAACTCATCCGAACATGTGGGCATTCATTGCTTGTTTACAAGCTGAAGAAGTCATCTTTCGACAACTATTTCTTAAGTTCAAAGCAGGTGCACAAAAGAAAATAATGCTGAAGACATTGACGATGCAGAAACACATCGACAATCTGAACACTCGCTTCAACAATAATGAGATCGATCGTGTCGAGCTTCTCGACGGACTCTCATTATTAGTGGCCTCAAAGAAATAAAAATAAACTGCTCATCCGACTGTTTTTAACATCTTTACTGCTTTTACTATTGTGCTTTTATGATTAACATTCCGATTACATTTTTCCAGATTTTCATTTGCCGAATTTATTCTTTTTCAGATTAATTTTTTTCCGGATATTTTTTTCCAGATTTATGTTTCCGGATTTGTTTTTTCCGAATTCCTTGACAATACCGATAATGCAGCTTTTTTATGTTTATTGTTAGATATTTATTGTGAGAACATAAACGACAACAATATAGAACAGAACAGACGATGTCTGCAAACGCACATATATACGATATTGTTAAGAAAGAGTATCATCTTACGTAAGAGAGAATGGAAAGATCCATACGAATAAGCACGTCTATATGATGATGCAAGATAGAAAAGAAAAATCCAATGCGTCGTATGTTGGAAAAATCCCAGCGAATAATATTATTATGGCGACAATGTCATATATTTCTGTTCCTGGCTCAAAACCAGCGTATAAAAACAATTCAAAGCACGTTTGCGTTCTTTTTTCAACACTGACGTAGTAAGGTGAGCTCCGCAGCGGTTCGAAATTGGTTAAATAAAGTAGTACTATTTTCTCAATAGGGGAAATGACAACTGGAAAAGTAAACGATTTGTTCAAGAAAATCGACGATTCAATCGCTGCAGATAATTCTTTTGAGAATATCAATTTATTATTCGATGAAGTTTTACCTTTGTTGAAAAAACTCGAATTTGAAGACGAGTCATCGTATAACGAAGCAAAACATCAATATCACACCAAAAGATCATCGTGTTTAAAATTCTTTGGAAAAATCGAAGATGCAAGACAAGAAGAAACTTTAGCTGTTCGTTATGGATCAAAATTAGCGAAATCAAATCCAACAAATACTTCCTTACCGCTATCAAAACAAGAAAATGATAATGAGTTGACATCACCAATATTTTCAGACGCTAAAGGAGTCGTTCAAATGCGTTTCAAAGATTTCAGAGAACATAAATTACTTTCCGATCCAACTCTTCAACCAACAATAAATGAATTAAAAACTTCACTTAATGAATATCTAAATCACAACGAAATTCTTTCATTTGAACAATACGATTCTTTAGAAAGATTACATTCACAAATGAATCGTATGACAAAATCATTTCAAGACGAAATTATTCTCAATAACATAAATAACGCTCGTCGAGGGAGACTCGCATTACCCTCGACTGATTGGGTTATACTTCAGATAAAACTTGCGATTCCAAATGATGTCTCGGGAACGGTCCTCGTCAATTTCGACCTTTTTCAAAACTAACCAAAGAACTGTCAACGTTCTTGTTATTTATGTAATGTCCATTATTCATGATCATTTTTCACACATGAAACAGCAGTCCGCTATGAATAGCTACTATGATCTTTGCGTCTTTTAGTAATGCGAAACTCGAAATTTCGACTCAACTATTCAACTATTTTTGCAGTCTTTTTTTCAATTATTTGAATATTCGACTGATTCCCAAACTCTTCTGTTCATCCTCACTGAAATGATGTCCCTTCAGAACCCTTTTACTCACTCGCAAGTATACGAATACTCGAATAATTGAACGGAAGGGTAGACTGTT